GGGAGAGGAGGAAGAGGGGCAGCCCCAAAGTGACAAACTTCAGCAGGCGAGCGCTCGGCAGCTCCAACCGCAGGCCCTTGGCTCGGGAACCGCCAGGATCCGGGAGGAGAGCGTCAGAGAGCATGTACTCGGCGGCTGTATGTGAGAGGGACATTTTTCTATCGAGGAAGAGGAGATGATGGTGACTGCTGCTGCTGCTGGAGGGCTCTGGTGCCGTCTGAGGCGTGACCAGCTCAAGGAGAGACTTTGTAGGGCTGAAGGCATCGCTTGCCAAGTGCTCCATACCAGGCAGCTGTAAATGACAGCTTAGACAGCACGTTAAATCGGCTGGTAATTACAGGGGGAAGCCTTTTTGCAAATAGCACAGCCCAAAATAGAAAAAAACCCAAACCACAGCAGCCGCAGCATCGGGCTGGGCAGGCAGTGTTCCTCCCCAGCCACAGCCACTCCCTGGCTCCTCGTGGTTTTACGTCCCTCTCTCATAAGCAGATGTATTTCTCGTAGCGCACTGAAGGGGCTTGAGGCTCCCCAGCTATTTTCACCCTGCATGAGGGGCGGGGAGGCAGGGGACAGGGCATTACCCTACCAAAAAGCTCCAGCCAGGTCCATGGCTTCTGGGGTACAAAGAGCCCTTTCCAGCAACCAAACCAGCCAGAGGGGCTGGGGAAAGTCCTGCTGGCCAGCCCTGAGCTTTTGAGGACAGGCCAGGAGATATCAAATGCTGGTGGCTACAATTCTGAGGCAGAACATCAGCTGCAGTTCCCCAGCTTTTCAGTCTCTCCCTTTGCCCCCCTCTCGAGGCACGGGGGAAGGAACCCAGCTCAAAGGCCAGCTCCCAAGGAAGAGGGATCCCAATAATAGGGTCTAGAAATAAGCAACAGGCAAGTCAGAAGGGGCAGCGGGATAGAAAAGATTCTCCCGGCAGCATAGTCGCTCCCTAAAAACCCACGCCGACACCTCTGGCAGCGCAGAGCAGAGGGAGTCCCGGAGCTGCTCGGCCAAGCCAAGCAGGGGAACTCCCCGCGCAGTCTCTCAGCACAGCAAAAAAACCCCGCAGCTGCTGCCAAATTGCACTTTCGATGGATTTTCGGAT